GGCCGTAAACAGAGGGGCCAAGAACGAGACAGGCGGCCTCATATATTAACTCTTAAATAGATTCTGTAAATTACAAGTGAAGGAAGGGCAGGAGACTTGTACAACCAATGCTCTACAAGGTTATTAACACCTATTTCTGATTTGCAAATTAGAGAACAGCATTACAAGACACTTAAATACAGCCTTTAAAAGTTCTCAAGTAATTGAATATAAAATCTCTTTCCAATGCACGTCGAAAGTCCGATTGCAATATTTGTTTCCACAGCTTCTTTTACCACGGAGCGTTCAGAAAAGGTAGACGGCCGGTATTTGAAGTGGAAAATGTTTGGCCTTTGCAAATAAATGCAAGTACATTCCTTGTATAGCAGTCATTTTGGCAATATTATTAGCAAGCAATATGCTTGGATAACAGATTTCCACTTTTGCAATTGCAAACTCTTCTTTGCTGGACAACAAAAGGCCATTTGCAGCATTCTGGAAGACAAGAAACACAGTCTTAGGGATAAGACAGACAGATTTAACACAGCAAATACATGACTAATGATTTTAAACCAGCAGCTACATAACAATTTGTTAGATAGCTATCTAAGCCCCAGCTCCAAGATAATGGGCATACATCATCCATCCTTATTCAATGCTTCTGCTTTTTTAAGCACAAGATCCTGCTTTTAAATATAAAGTAATTTTAAAAGGTTCATTTTTAGAAAATTTTCATTCACCGTTTAGCATAGATGCTACCTGAAGAGAGAGACAGAAAAGGATCCAAGATATGAACAGTTGTTTCTGCAGAAACAATCAAGGGTTGCGGTTTTGTTTTTTCCGAACTGACAGCACGCGTGACCGCTTTATCTTCTCTTCGGCGAGGACAGTGCCCATCCTAGCAGGCTACTGGGGGAGCTGCTCAGCACAGCTGCACGTTTCCACGCTCCGTTTCCATGTTGCCAGCAGGGATATTCAGTAATAAGCCTACCAAATGACTGATTCTGATTTTGCTGAAGTAAGCCTGTTTTCAGAGCTCAGAAAAACATTTTCTCACAGACCACCTCACGGAGTTAGCAGTATTGTTCTGAAAACCTAAAGCAACTGTGAAGGATCATTCACATAAAGAGGATGCCTGGAGCAGCCCAAATAATCAAGGGGCACAAGAATTATACAAGCAAAACACTAACTCTGGAGCAATGCAGGTAGATTTGCATGAGTCCCAAAGTACAAGCACTTACCTGGAAATCATTAATTTATTAGTGAGAAGATGATGTATTCTGAGTGACCTAGAATAACCAACAAAGTAGAAGGATCAGTTTTCTGTCACCACCTGCAACTCTGAACATTCCCAGTGTTCCAAGAAGCAAGAAAGGGAAACGTTCAGGACAGAGAAAATTGTGGCAGCTACAGATAATCAGCAGGCACGAGGCTTTGCCAAGAGCCTGCAGCGTCTCCCTGACCTCTCATTTCCCCAGAGCATCTGCAGCATGAACCACGCACACTCGCTTCACCAGCAGCTCTGTTTTCTCATTTCAAGTCTTGGCCACGCATCTTTTCTGGAGAACTGAGAAATCTTTTATTTTTTGGTCATTATGTGCAATGGCTGTTGGATTGCTCTGGATTATAAAAGACGGGTTACCAATTGTTTTCAAACATAGCACTGTAAGGAGAGCCCCGTATACTTCTGACACCTGAAAACAGTCTCACAAGTACAAGAAGGAATACTTGTAATCTCTAAATTAGATAAGCCGTGCCCTCCCTAAACATGACAAGGCCCAGGACAATGAAAGCCTTGAGAGTTTAGGGTCAGACAACAAGGTGGCAAGGGTTTTAAAGTAACAGAAGAAAGCGCCCAAGTCTGATGCGTGAACGCAGAGCTCCACAGCAAGAAACCATAAGCAAGAGCAGGCCAGGAGAGGTGATGGAGATGAACAAGCAGGGTCTGAGGAGCAGAAGAGCACAGAATACCATTAAGATTTTGTAGGACAAGACAGGATATCAAAAATAAGAACGCGGAGGATGGGCGTGGTGCATAGCACAAAGGAAAGGAATACAGGATGGGCTGAAGGAGAGACCAGAGAGGGGAGCTCTCCCTGCACTTGGGCTGCCCAGCCTGCATCTGTCCATGAGAGGAAGCAAGGGACCGGGCACCCAGGATTAACCAACAGGGCCAAGCCCTGAGAAGTGGCATCAGACTCTTACCTGAAGGTGACCTTTCAAGTTGGCTGGCGTTTTATAATCTCCCTTTAAAACCTACGGAAAAGACAAAATTAGAGTGACCCCTTCTTGAACGGTGGCTGTAAAATATCAGTAACTCCACGTTATTAACTGCATGGATTGCCCCAGTGTATCCAAACCAGCAGAGCTCTCCTGATGGGCGTTTGTTCTACATCATGCTGATGCTGGGGAAATAGCTGGAGATTTCCTCCTTAGTGACTTTTTAAGCAAAGCCAGGGAATGGCATCCTGCCGGCACAGGGGCCTGACAAAAGCAGGTTCTCTGGATCCCTCCTTAACCTGGAAGGGGAGAGTATTTAGACCTTCAGCATCATGCCAGTGCTCCAAATTCATGCCGAGAAGTACTAGAAGGTCCACGTCAAAGACTCCAAGAGTCTCTTAAACCTGCTGGGGGAAGATATTCATCCAGATCATCTGTGTCCTTAAAGAGCTCTCAGCAAGCACACAGAGCAAGGAGGAACTGTCAGAGACCAGAATACTCATAGCGCAAACCAGCTCAGGGAAGTTCTGAGCTTCCAGTTTAGTGGTTTTACTTTCCTGTTGACCTATGGATCTGCTTATAGCACAGCAGGGACCAGTCCAGCCTGCAGGCGTTCCTCCACGCCCATCAGTGTGACAGAGGACATCTGGTCCAAGAGCACTGTCACTGGGTGTGCGTGCAAGGCTGGGGAGGCTGCCGAGTCCAGCCGCAGTCCGAGGAGGAGCCGGTCTGCTTCAAAGCGTGAGAAAAATTCCCTCCGTCTAGTAACTGCTGTCTGTGGCAGAAACATGTGTCAGTATTCTGAAAAAAATCCTTTTGGTCTTTGCTCAAATGCATTACAAGCCTCCACTCACTCGCATTCCTCCTGGGACTGTGGGGAGCGGCTGGTGAGCTACACACGGACACAGCACAACCTAACCCCTTCTCTGCGGCCAGATGGGAGCTTCTAGAGCAAACAGCTCTGCATCTAGATAACACAGTACACTTCCCATGCCTGGTACCAAGAACTGGGCTGGATCAGGGAGGGACAGGCCGGTATCTGCCACAACAGACGAAATGAACACCGCCACAAAACCATAGGGAACATCATTAGTCTGAGCCACCCTAGTCTCAAGCTACCGCATTCATCTCCGTTTTAAAGTAACCTCTGTGTACTGCATGTCCATCTATCAGTCATAGTCTCCCCAAAGGAAGAGAGCTTTTGTGTCTCCAGTGCTCTTTTTTGATTCAATTCAGCAACCTCTTCTCCTGCAGAGGGCTCTGCGGGCACAGTGCCTGCACAGGGAGGTCTCTGTTCCAGCGTCAGCCCACCCTTCCCGTAACCGCCTGGCCACGCTCCAGCCGGATGGCAGCGACACTCACCCTGTGCGTGTTGTTGACAACTAAAGGGTCCGGGTTGCCGTAGTTGGGTGGATTGGCGTACGGGTCGTAGCCGAGCCTGGCAAGCATCGGCGCTATGTGGGCCATGTCTTGCAGCACATCCCCTGGGATATGTCCGATCCATTTAGATAATGCCTCCATGTTCACAGGCTTGATAACCTGGTCTGTTGATCTTTCTATCCTGGAAGAAAATAAATAAATAAATAAATAAAAGGAAAGCAAGACAGTAAAGTTGCTGTCAGTTGGATTTCACGTGTATATTAATTGGACTCAGACAGAAAAACCTTCAGCTAGGTTAGCTACCCTCTGAATGATTTACTCTCAATGCCCAAGATGCACGTGTAGCTCAAGTGCTGTTGAGTCCACGCCAGGATCAAAGGTTCCCAAAGCGGCAGCCAGAGGCAGAGCTGTGGCCGAGCCCAGCAGCGCTGCTCTCAGGGCAGCTCCCATAAGGACAGCAGTACCTCCCTGCCCTGACGGCCCCTCTCCAGCGGGTGCCTTCAGTCCGAAACAGCCAAGCCCCAAGAGCATCGTGGGTTTACGCGAGCCGCTTGCCTTGCGACCAGGCTTGGGCACTAGGACCAACATCACCAGCTCCAAACAGGCCAGCACAAGGAGGTGCTGGTAAGGGGGGGCCCTTGCACAGTGCAGACTCTCCCTTCCCACCCTGCGCGCGGGGTGACACTCAGCCCGGGCTAAGCTGCATCTGCTCCGCGCTGAGTCAGAGGAAACCACACCCGACGAGGCATATGCAACTCTGCATGTTAGGAGGGATAAATATACACAAAGACAGCAGATCATCGGCTGAGAGAGCTTCCCAATTACTGAATCATTAAGCGTATGCAATTCCACACAGCCTATTCAGGAAGAGTGTTTTAGTGCTGACGAAAGCAGAGCCGAATAGCGCACCCCTTGGCTGCCTTGGAGAAAAAACAGCGCGAGCGCACCCACCGCTTTGGATGCATCAAGCTAATAAGGGGCAAGAGGAATTTAGGCAAAGACTGCTTGGGTGGTTCCTGTATAGGACTGATTAATTTTTGCTAAGTTAGCCTTAAGCTTCCGTCTAGAAAAATAATTCAGCACTTAACAACCACAAGAAGCTGGGTAAAGCAAGCACCTCCTGGAACACAAGAAGAGACAGAAAAAGCTAGGGAGCAGTGGGGTGCGTCTTCATGGGAGAAGATATTTCTTTTATACTGCAATACCAGCAGGAAACATAGTAAGAATTAGTGCAAACTACCAAAAGCAATTCATTAACAGCTAAACTGTAATCCCAGTCTGAATAGGTATATGAGGACAGGTGGAGAAAGAGCCATTAAAAAAAGCTCAAGTTTCTGAGCAAGCAGTTCTTCTCAAATTAGACACCAAAACCATTTCCACACTGTCAACAGCAGATGAAAAAACACTGTCACCTGCTTTTAAAATCCTTGCCTAACAAGCTGTTCTATTGGGTACAACAGATAGCTAATATTCAAGCTTGTGTTTTACTTAGAAAAACAAAAGCAACTGCAGCAAATCGGATGTGCTACCACTTCTGATCCTGAAAACTATGCCTAAACATAAGCAACAAATCTTTGCCCTCCAGTTTTGGCCCTGACCTGCTTTGTCTCATGAAAATACTCTTTGAAAAGCAGAGGCAGTAGCAGAGACACTCACTTGGAAAGAGACACTCCACCAGGCTTCCCTATCAGTTCCTCATGGTGCAGCACCGCATCACTCCAGGAAATATCTAGGAACTTCATGATGGCATGCATAGACCGCTCAGGGTGCAGGACTAGCTGCTCGTAGTAGACTGGCAGGCACCGGGCTCGTCCGATCTCCAAGCACTGGGAATACATCACCTCGATCGCTTTGTTCCACTTGGTAAGGCAGTCTCGGTAGCTGTTCAGGTCAAAGCCTGCGATTGTCACCTTCCTTGTGATCATTGAATGGACAGACGCCCGGCCATCTCGAACCATGAGGAGGAATTTGGAATTGGGAAACAGTCTGGACAGGTAGACAGAGGACTTCAAAGTGAAAGGGTCCTTGTTACATAAATACCTGGCTGGCTCGCCATGCTTGGCGATGACTTCCAGTATAAAGGCCTGCATAGCAGCGTCCAAAACTTGGTCCGTCACTCCTGCTTCGTCCAGGCGCATCTTCTCCCGCCCCGATTTGGACCAGGCCTGGCGCATCGCTAGCACACGGGGAATGATGCGGGTCTCCTCCCCACAGCGGACCTCAGGGTGGGCATCGAGCATTGCTCTCATCAGCGTTGTGCCGCTCCGTGGGACCCCGCCAACAAATATCAGAGGCATCTCCTTGCTGTAACGGTACTCGACGTGGTTGGAGTCCACCATGACGAGCTCCTCATTCTCAGGTCTCATCAGCCTGTGTCGCCTCTCGCTCAGGACCTGCTGGCACTCCAGGACCTGCTGGCCAAGGTGCAGCGTGACCATCAGGGCGACCACCGAGCCAACCGCCAGCAGCACCCGCCTCATGGTGACCCGCATCCTGTTCTCCACATAGGCTGGAGACCAATGTGCGACCACGCTTCAGCTTTCAGCTAGTAAGCATTCAATCCTATGCGCACCTGCAGAAGAAGCACAGCACGTTTAGAGGAGCAGGAACAGCGACCCAGCCACTCCCCACTTTCTTCCTGGCCCCAGTGGCACCCAGAAGGCTCAGGCATCCAGCCTGGTTCCGCATGCTCCTTCTAGGATGCTGACACCATCCCAGGCTTTCATAATCTCTTTTACTTAGCAGCAATTACAGGCTTGATGCCATCTACCCACGAGATAATTAAAGTCAGTCTCAGAGCACACCCAAAGAGATTATTTCTTGATTGTTTGTGTTCCCAGAATCACAAGTTTAAAGCCTGAACAAAGCTCCACAAAAGTTTAGGAGGGGAGGGGATGAGCTTGCCCAGTCAATCCATTTCCCTAATGCACAGTCTAAATTTGCCCTCATCCACTTACTTCTTTGGATCAAGCCTCTATTAGCTTAGGAGAAAAAACACTCCAGCTTTACTTTCACCAAAACAGTAACAAATATTTCAAGAGTTTGTTCCAGCCCAGATGAATCCCAAACCCTCCTTACAATCTTCCTTTTCTCCAGCACAGAGGTCCCCTGCACTCAGCTTCATCAGCCACCTGCTTCCTTTCTACTTTTGCTTTAGTTTTACATATGCTGCTGGGGGCAGGGAGGGGGGAATAATTCCGAAATAAAAGAAAAAGAAAAGCCTTTCATGCAAATTTCAATGGTCCAAGTCTGGAGAAGCAATTGCCAATTAGAATGAAATAAGCCGTTTGAGAAGTTAAACCAATTTGAAGGGTAAAGTGTAAGTAACAGCAACAAATACAGTCAATGTTAAGTACCCTTATCCCAGAGGCTGACCTTACATAAAACTCCTTGGAGTCTTCATCTGGCATTAAGATGGGTTTTCTGCTCCTTGGTGGGATATTCCAGCAGGAAGTCTGCCGTTTCCACAAGTCTCCTGCTCTGCCGCCTACATAAGACTCCTAGGAAGACTGGCACAGCTTCCCATACCCTTCCCCTCTCTCGCTCCAGTTGTGAGCACAGGCTTTGCCTTCCTTCCCTTGGGTCACAGAGGGATTTCAAGTTCTTTGTGATTATATGGCTTGGGTGGGAGTTGAACGAGAGCGGAAGGAACGGAACGTCCATGCACTTTATTTCACGGACAATCAAAGAACTGCTTCAGAAAAGCAGTTTCTCCTCAGAACTCTCTTACTGAAAGACCATATTTAGCAGTGGCCCATGCAAAAATGCTTTGAAGTTGCTAGCAACCACCACGGCTCCCGGGTGCCAAGCAGCCCTCTGTTTCCCTGCGATACCTGGCAGCACGAGGCTGCCCCAGGGCTGGGCGCTCGGCTCACTTGGCTGGCTCCGGGCTCCACTCCTGCTCCAGTCCTTTCATATCTAGCTCCACCTACCCAAACTGATCAAACTGTCAGCTTTTCACCAGGAATTTAGGTTCATTTTATACAGTTCTGCTCATACAATCAGGTTACCATGACATAATGAGTTAGAGCCTGTCTGCCTCACCATTGTAACTAGCCAGGTATATGATTTCCCATCCCAACAGCAAAGTAACACGGTCAATAAAATTATTTTCATGGTGGTTTAGCTCCATGCTTAACGTCTTGGCTAAATGTCTTACCACGGTTAAATAGCTTCATGTGCATGCCCATATACTATATAAAAGTCAAGTGCTAGTAAGCGTGATTAGATCATTAATCACTCGGAACAAGAAATAGTTCTCCGGCATTTATGCAGCACCGAGTGCAGAGCCAGAGCCATTAAAAGGACAAGTACTCCTCTACTGCACCCTGCTATCTTGATCTGTTTCAGTCATGTACTTATACTCAAACGCTCACCTTAAAAATAATTGCAAAAGCTCACAAGACCTGCTTCAGTGCATTGCAGTCGGAGCAGTCAGGACTTAACGCCAACTGGAATAATTACAAATACGTAGACTAAAACAGGCTAATTAGGAGGAGAGATCTGTAGTTTAAAAAGGAGGCTGCAGGCGCAGAAATACTCTCACTGCTCTCTACAGAAATGGCTTACAGTGAGCATTTCGCACAGAGATTCTCCTCGCAGCTCCCGTCTGCGTGCTGCAGGAACTCTGCGTGCAGGGCAAAAGGGGAGATGGCTCATTTTGGCGGGCAGAGCGGAAAGCTGGCTGCAAGCCTGACCGTACCATCCCTCAGCTCCAGGAAAGCTCGGTGGGACAAAGCGCCGTGCGGAGGACCCCACCGAGCGGGACCCTGCCGAGGCGCGGGACGCTCCTGGCACGTCTGCCTGGACAGCCGCCGGTGAAACACGGACTCCGCAAAATGCTTCGAATATAGAGAGTTCTTCAGCTGGGCTCAGTCTGCCATGGGGCAACAGGAAACAGAGAAACCCAGGTGCTGAGGACTACAGTCAGGGAACAACAACTTCTCCATTGCTGCTGTGATTTGGACTCTCCCTGCTGCTGTGACACACCACTTCCCCCTTCAGCAAAAAAAACAAACAAACAAAAACCCCCCCAAAACAAAAAAACCTCTGCTTACTGCTAGACAACAAGGGGGACCTGAAAGGACTGGAACAACCAAATTTCTCCAGTGGGATTACCCCAATTCACCCAGACCAGCTAAACAAAGACCCATGAGCATGCTCAGTAACAATCTGCTGAGCAACTGTAAGCAATTTCAGCTTGTTTTTACGTGTTTTGTGAAATCTTCCACTAAGAATTTCCCCAAATTTATGGGGCTTATTAGTCTATGAGAGAACGGGGATAGGTAATTTCCTCCACAGCAGATATTCTGACGTAAAATATTATTGCATAATTAGGTAGTATGACTCACTGATCAGAGACAATCTTCTAGCCCTTCAGATGCACAAACTGACTTTAAGAGTTTTCAACTCAAGTAAGAATTAGGGAGTTCTCAGTGGCTTTTCTTACGCATCACGCCATGGACTTAAAATCACTGCAACTAGTGACAGGCAGTGGAAATCGGAGTACCAAGGACAGACCCAGGGCTGAAGCAGCTCACGTACTCAGCAAGCCCCGAGTGCACTTAAGACTGCGGCCGTGACCCATGGGACACCATGACAGCGACGGTGCGTGACCCAGACAGCCAGGACCTGCGTCCCGAGCTGCAAAGGCGGCAAGGGTCTTAAAGAAAGCGGAACAGAGCAGGAAGAAGTGAGCTAGTGGGGAGGCGATAACAAAGCAGCGACAAACAAGGACACAGAAGGTCCTACATGCAAAGAGTCCTCTGTTTGTTGCACGCTGATAAGACATCAGTATCAACGAGGCTTAAACTGTTTCTTGTAAGCTTGTGAAAGCAATAAAATGTTAATAAAGCATCAGTGGAGGTGTGGAGAGGGGCACGAAACGTTCCTCAGTCCACTCCCAAAGTCACAGGGGAACCAACTGCTTCGGCAGGTCCTCTCCTTATGTGCTTACCTTGCCCTGGTAAGTTCGTTTTGCTGCTAGCTTCATGCTGAAACACAGGTGGCCACTAAATACCTAATGGGGAAGAAAAACCACAATGTTGTCTGTTTGTTTATCACAGATAGCCACAAGCGTGGTTACAAGCGCTGTTCTCCTTCTCGGCACCTGTCTCTGCAGGCAGCAGCTTCCCCATCCGCGCATCTCCTCTCCGAAAGTTCCCCGAAGCCCCAAACACACACGGCCCCGGCCTGGCCGCAGCTGCAAACAGCCACTGCCTTCAGCTCACCTCCGAAATGCTAACGCCATCATCGTTCACGCGTTAAAATGCGACCGAACAAACCCGATCCCGGGAGGCCACCCGGGGATCCTCCCGCAGCCCCGGGAGCGGCTCCCTGCACAGCCCGGCCGGCAGCGACTGCTCCGCGCGGCGCGGTCCGGAGAGCGGGGGCAGCCAGGGGAAACTTGAGAAGTGGGAACAGTTTTGAAATGCAGCTGTTTTGTTTAGAAAATTAAGTCTCCTGGAAGGGGACGCCTCCAAGGGACAGATGCAGCTGGGAGGTTTAAAGCCGGGGGGACCACAGCCCGAGCGTAGCGCGCTTCCATTACACACGCGCCGGCAGAGCGGCGCAGCTCGTCCCGGAGGGGGACGGCAGACTTCCTCGCCCTGAGCTGCATTCCAAATGCGGGAATTGGACAAAAGTCAGAACGTGGTCACGCTTCCCAAACCTTTACAGCAGAAGGAGACGGGCCCAGAGGACGGTCCTTGAAGCACCACGCTCCCTTCGGCGGAAAACGCCCAGCGGGGTCACAGGGATGCCAACGCCCGGGCGGGAGGAGAGGCGGGTGCGAGCCCCGCGCCGGGTACC